CATGGTCTTCCTCAACCCGGACTCAGTCAAGCTAACGCGTGCCCACGAAGTGCACGCTCACACACTCCCTAACCAATACAAATGGGACGCGCCCTCAGATAGCGTCAGGCGCGTTCTTCCTGTGAGGTGCAAAAACGTGCCCAAATACCCTTGTAAGGGTATTCGGGCCGACAGAAGGTAGTAGAGCAAATGGGTGCAAGGGAGATGGAACTGGTATATCGAACGCCTGGGAAGGTAGATGGAGCGAGTGGAGCACAACCCCAAAGCGCAATTTGGCCTTTTTTAGGGGTGGGCTCAAACAAGGTGCACAAAGGCGGTACAAAAGGGTAGACCAGAAGTGCCGCCCTGTTCCCGTACTCGTCACCGAATAGCAAGAGGTTTACTACGAGCGGGAACGAGAATTGATACGGCAACTGCGAGAGAAAGCGGAGAATGGGCCATGCCGTATCAATCTCGAGACAGAAAAGGCGTTGGTTGTTGTCCCAGTCGACTCGGCTCAGCCCGTCCGCCCTATTCTTGGTCCCAGGAATTCGCTCCAACTCGAAGTCAAACATCTAGATGTACGTCAGCCATCTGGCGATAGTTGGATCTGACGGAGCGAAGTTCTTGAGAGAACCAGCCAGAGCCGTAGCGTCCACCCTCAATACGAACCTATTGCCAAAGAGGTAGTTTCTGAAGATCCTCAAACAGTGAAGGAACGCCAAGGTTTCGCGCTTGAACTGAGAGTAGTTCCTTTCAGACGTATTAAGCGTCCGACTCTCAAACCTTAGTGGTCGTTCCTCCCCATTGGGATCTCGCTGGATCAACACACCTCCCAGAGCAGTTGGCCCTGCGTCTGTCTCTACGATGAACGGCCTGGTCATCACCGCCCCCAGTACTAGACCTCCTTCCTCAAACTCCTTCTTCAGGTCTTTTATCACCGACTCTTGTCTGTCTCCCCATTCCCAGTCTTGTCCTTGACGCACGAGCTTCCGTAATTGCTCCGTCTTTGCCGCAAACCCCTTAATAAAGATCCTCCAAAACCCACACGTGCCCAGAAAACTCCTCACCTCCGTGATAGTCTGGAACGGTGTTGGCCATTCGAGAATCTTGTTAGTCTTCTTAGTATCTGGCCGACGACCCCTCTTGTCGCATACAAATCCTAAGATAGTGGCACCACTCATGCAGTGCCTTGATTTTGGCCCACTGGCAGTGAGGTTATGCTCCTTCAAGAGATCCAGGACCTTGCACAAGTCTTGCACATGATCCCACACAAAGCGCCTGATTCCTGACATCACCTCCTGCTCATCCTTCTCCTTAGGCCCCTTCACGGCCAGATCATCAATGTAGGGTTGTGTGATGTGAGGACTTATGGGCTGCATCGCCCTTACCATGTGTCGCTGGACCATAGCGACCGCATTCGTCCACCCCTGCGGTGCGACGTTCATGTGGATCAGCCCTCGAGGGGTATGCATGGCTGTCATAGGCCGGTCCGACGGGTATACAGGGAACTGATCGTAGCCTGAATACAAGTCAATGAGGGATATGATGGCCCTCCCAGCGCATGCCTCTGAAAGCGCATCAGCGTTGGGGAGGCCACCTGCGTCCCTCACTGTCACCGCGTTCAGGCGCTGCAAGTCCTGTACCCACCTCAGAGTCCCATTGGGTTTGACAAAGCAAAACCAGGGGGACTCATACAGACCACTCGAGTAATTTGCCACATGAGTGCGAATCTTTCCATCAAGGTAGCTAACTACCTTCTCTTCGTCAGCAGGATTCGCGTACCGCGCACCTCGCAAGTTTCATGGCTCGTGAGGTATGGTATGTATCCTAATCATGGGGATAATATCCACGTCCAGTCGGCCCCTCTCATCATCACTGAAGGCATATGCCTCATGCCTTCCTCTTATGGCCTCCACCACAAGTTTTTCTTCTTGCGCCGTAAGGAAGCCGGGTTCCCCTACAACCAACGCCTTTTCTGTCTCGAGATTGATACGGCATGGCCCATTCTCCGCTTTCTCTCGCAGTTGCCGTATCAATTCTCGTTCCCGCTCGTAGTAAACCTCTTGCTATTCGGTGACGAGTACGGGAACAGGGCGRCACTTCTGGTCTACCCTTTTGTACCGCCTTTGTGCACCTTGTTTGAGCCCACCCCTAAAAAAGGCCAAATTGCGCTTTGGGGTTGTGCTCCACTCGCTCCATCTACCTTCCCAGGCGTTCGATATACCAGTTCCATCTCCCTTGCACCCATTTGCTCTACTACCTTCTGTCGGCCCGAATACCCTTACAAGGGTATTTGGGCACGTTTTTGCACCTCACAGGAAGAACGCGCCTGACGCTATCTGAGGGCGCGTCCCATTTGTATTGGTTAGGGAGTGTGTGAGCGTGCACTTCGTGGGCACGCGTTAGCTTGACTGAGTCCGGGTTGAGGAAGACCATGAGACGCCGGTAGGATAGATTAGGGTTAAGCTAGACTTTCTGCGGCGGTCGCAGACTCACACACACGGACGAAGTGTCGGACGACGCAAAGTTGACTAGGTAAGGCGGTGATCAAGAGGGGGGCATTGTCCGACTTACTGGGGGCCGACGGTTCAGGGCCGCGCCATGTAAAAATTCGCAGGGATCCGGTAAACCACGTGCTGCCGACAGTGGGAGCCGTGGCGAGCTTTAGCTAGGGCGGCGTAGGTCGGGACGGAGTGAGTAGAAGTTGGGGTGCTTTTCGGCCCAAGGGTGGTGGGCCGGACAATTCCCGGTGAAAGTGAGGGAGTAGGAGGGCCCGGCCGTAGCCGCAGCGTGATGTGGCAACATGCCCGGCAAGCATGACGGGACCGTGGCCTCCAAAGCCGCGTCGGGGTGCCTACGGGCCCCTGGACGCGAACGGTAAGTAAGGGGGGCGGCCTGAGGTGCTGCTTGCTGGCCCGGACAGGCAGTCCTTACTCTTTATGAGTAGGACTGCGCCTGTTACCTTCAAGCTGGGGCTTAGCCCTATAGGTTACGGCACTGACCTTTCACCAAGCGGATCCCGGGATCGAGGCCAGCAGCGTGCGGCGGAGCAGAGGAGTGCTTTGGTGCATACCGAGGGGTTCAGGGTCATGCGGGACTATCCCTTTTTGGTTTTGTTGGGGAGTCCGGCGGCGGGCCCGTGGGGTAGGGCCAAGTGCCAAGGGTCCTCCTCCCCCATCCGTTTTTTGTTTGTCATTTTGTCTATCTCCAAGTTTAAAAATATATATATATATATATATAT